GAAATTTGCCTCCTGCGGTGTGTCTGTCTAGGGCTGGGGTGGGACTCCAGGGCATTGGGACAGGGTTGCAAAAACAGTACCTCCCATAACAACAACAACGACAACACAGTTAAATTTGAATCTTAGATAAACAACAAATAATTTGTTAACATAAGTATGTCCCAAACAATGCACGGGATGTGCTTATACTAAAAAGCAATAATTTGTACAAATATATCCCAAATATTGTGTGGGATATAATTACACTAAAAGAAAAAAAATTGCATGGGATATACATATACTAAATACACACACACACACACACACACACACACACACATATATACACACATATATATATAAATATATACACACACATACATATAATGAAATACTTGGGACACCTCTGCACTAAAGGTAATTTGTGATTCATTGAGATTCAGAAGTGACTGGGCACTTTGTATTTTATCTGGCCAGCCCTCTCCTGGGGGCACCCCCTTCTCGAAGACCAGATGGAGCCCTGGGACCTTGACTTTACCATCTGGAAAATGGAAGGTTCAAGCCTCAGCTCCCTAAGGGGGCTTGTGTCTCCCAAATGAGGACAGAGGTGCCCTAAAGGGAGAGGCCAGGCCGTCCCACCTCTGCCAGCAGTCCACAGCCCCGGGCTTTCTTCAGTCCCTCTTTCCTCCAACCCTTCCTGTTCTCTTTCCCCCAGGGCGGTGGTTCGTGAGCACCGGGAAGGACAACCTGCTCAATGCCTGGAGGACGCCATATGGTGCCAGCATTTTCCAGGTACTGGCAGTCTGGAGCCCGGCTCTTGGCAGGAGGCCATGTGCCCAGGGCCCCAGGGTGGCTGCACTGGTGGTGAAACAGGCGCCTCTCCTGGATCCTCCAAGTCTCTCATCTGCCGTAGCTACTAAAGCTGTCAGCAAACTTCAGCCCATGGGCTACATCAGTATACAACCTGTTTTTTTTTTTTAACCATTAAAAAATATATATTTTTTTGTTTTCTTTATTGATTTTTAGAGAGAGAGGAAGGGAGAGGGAGAGAGAGATAGAACATAGATTGGCCCCCTCCTGCATGCCCCCTACTGGGGATCGGCCCCAAACCTGGGCATGTGCCCTGACCGGAAATCAAACCAGTGACCTCTTGGTTCATGGGTCGACACTCAACCACTGAGCCACACTGGCTTGGCCATCTTAACCATTTTTAATTGTACAATTCAGGGGCATTGAATATATTCACAGTGTTGTGCAACCATCACCACCACCCATCTCCAGAACTTTCTCATCTTCCCAAACTGACACTCTGTTCCCATTAAACACTAACAACCCCTCTGCCCCCCCAGCCTCTCACCCTCCCTCCACTGAGCACCCACCATCTCTACATTTTGTCTGTATGAATCTGAGTCATTTAGGGCCTTCCTATGAGTGGGATCATTCAGTATTTATCCTTTTGTGTCTGGCTTATTTCACTGAGCATAATGTCCTCAAGTTTTATCTACTTTGTAGCAGGTGTCAGATTTCCTTCCTTTTTTCTTTTTAACCAAATATATATATATATATATATATATATATATATTTTTTTTTTTTTAATTGATTTTTTAGAGAGAGAGAAACATCGATGTGTGAGAGAAACATTGATCAGCTGCCTTCTGCACGCCGCTCACTGGGGATGGAGCCGGCAACCCGGGCATGTGCCCTGACTGGGAATCAAATTGGGATCTCTCAGTCCATGGGACAATGCTCAATCCACTGAGCCACACCAGCCAGGCAGAATTTCCTTCCTTTTTAAGGCTAAATAATATTCCATTGTATGACTGGACCACACTTGATCCATTCATCTGTTGGTTGTTTTTACCTTTGGGTGATTGTGAATCATGCTGCTATGAACATTCACATACATGTTTTTATGTAGATACATTTTCATTTCTCCAGGGCATATACTTAGGAGTGGAATTGCTGATAATAATTTAATCTTTATTGGAATTACCAGACTGTTTTCCAAATTTTCCATTTCTATCAGCAGCACAGGAGTGTTCCAAATTCTCCCCATCCTCAGCAACACTTGTTATTGTGTCTTTTTTTTTAATTCCTACCCAAGAACATGGTTAGAGAGAGAAAGGGAGAGAGAGAAACACTGATGTTTGAGGGAAACATCAATTGATTGTGGTCTGTATGGTCCCTGACTGGGGATCAAACTCAAACCTGCAACCTAAGTATGTGCCCTGACTGGGATTTGAACTGGCAACATTTCTTTTTTACTTCCTTGTTTATTTATTTATTTGTTTTGTTTTTAATCCTCACCTGAGGATGGTTTTTCCATTGATCTTCAGAGAGAGAGGGGAAGGGAGGGGAGAAGGGGGAGAGAGAGAGAGAAACATCAATGTGAGAGAGAAACATCAGTTAGTTACCTCCAGCATGCACCTGGACTGGGAATTGAACTCAAAACCTGGGTATGTGCCTTGACCGAGAATCTAACTGGTACCTTTTGGTGCACTGGACGATGCTCAAACCAACTGAACCACTCTGACCAGGCTATTGGTGTCTTTTTTCTTTCTTTCTTCTTATTTTGTTAGTCCTTACCCAATGATGTTTTTCTATTGATTTTTAGATAGAGTGGAAGGGAGAGAGAGAAACATCAATGCAAGACACATTAATTGGTTGCCTCCTGCATGACCCCTTTACCAGGGCCAGGGATGAAACCTGCAACCCAGGCACATGCCCTTGACTGGGAATTGAACCCTTGACCCCTCGGTGCATGGGCCAACACTCTAACTGCTGAGCCAAACCAGCCAGGGCTATTTTGTCTTTTTTTATTATAGACATTCTAGTGGATGTGGAGTGGTTTTACATTTTAAAGGGTTGTAAAAAAAAAAAACAACTAAAACTGAATATATATATTCGATTTATTTAGCCTCTGGACTTAATGGCTAATGACTTATTTGGACTTTAGGCAAAGCCTGACAATGTACTGTTGTGCCCTGGTAGGAAAAGGTTTGCCGGGCCCCGCTGTAGGTCATTGTGCCCTAAGCTTAGCCCCCTGCAGTGCTGTGTGGTCTGCCGGGTGCACATCCTCTCTGAGCTTCCCAGGAAGGGGCCGTGTTCCAGTTCCTCTTTCCTGGTGGCCAGATAACAGAGGTTGCGCCCTTCTCAGGAACATCACCTGTCCAGAAAGGACCTTTCTCTGGAACATGTGTCACCTCGTTTTTGGCTCCCACTCTGGGCTCTCCTATCTTGAGTCCTGTCTCAGCCCTGCCTTGACTATAGTTCATCCTTGGAGGCTGGAGTGGCTCCAGTCCCCATGCCTCTTCCTTCTGAACATTGTGCGGGGGGTTAGGAGCTTGCACCAGCCTGTGCCAGCGTCAGTCACGTCTCATCCCTGCCTTCTCTCCCTCTCCCTTCTACAGTCCAAGGAATCATCCTCCGTGCTGAGCTGTGACATCTCTGGGAATAACAAGTACATCGTGACAGGCTCAGGGGACAAGAAGGCCACTGTGTATGAGGTGGTCTACTGAGAGAACCCCCCATTCCTGCACCCCTGGCAAGGGCATGCAGAACGGAGACCCCAAAACCCCCTTTAGTCGTACCTGTGGGCGCCAAACCTCATCTGCTCTCTGGCCGGCCCCCTCACATCTTCTGTGGGATGTGGGGCCAAGTGGGCAGAGGGACTTCGGGGAAATAAATGTATTTATCACAATTGCCTTCTGTCTCAGATGGGGGAACTGGGCACCACTGCTTTTCTAGGGCAACTGAAAAGTCACATTCTAGCTGTGTGACCATGGGTTGTCTTTCCTTTTCCCTAATCTGGATGAGGTCATTCATTGTACATGAAAAACTGTGGGATCTACTACAAGAAATGAGTGTTGTTTTGGGCAGTGTGGCTTAAGTCTTGCCATGTAACAAATAGCCCCCCAGGTCTCAATGGTTGGACACAATAGACGTTTCTCAGGCAAGTCCATGTGGCATGTAGGGCTTGACTTCAGGTTGGTGGTTTCACCCCCTCAATATGTAAATTCAGGGTCTAACAGAGCAGGGACACAGGTTGCACATGACTTAAATCTCTAGCCCCAAATTTCACGTATTGCTTTGGACAGAATCATCCCAAGACATTGCCCATGTACAAAGGGTTGGAGATTATAGTGGAGCATGTTGCTATTTGGGGTGCAGTCATGTTTCCTTTGAGACCCAGAGACAATTCCTAAGAGCCTGGCACATGATACCTGGCCCACTGTCATCATCACAGCAAAAGTCAGGCCCAGAGGAGGTGGCAGCTAAGCCAAGAGCCAAAGGAGGAGACACAGTTGTTTGAAGGGTCACAAAAGACGGAGGGAACAGCATGTGCAAAGACTCAGAAGTGATTAAGGAACTTGGCCTGGTGAAAACCAGGAAGGCGGGGTGGGGGTTCCTTCTCAACTACAAGGGAGACAGGTCTCCAGATGAGGCTTAAACAGGGAAAGCCACAGAAGTGGGAGCCAGAGGCAGGCAGGCAGGGGGGTAGAGGTGGTGACACTATCAGATCTGAGTTCTGGAAGCTCCTGTGGGTTGCCACAAGGACCACGGCTGCTGCTAGGACTTCCTGGGGGGTGATGACAGGGTCTCAGGTGGGGTTTCTGAAGAAAGATAATTCTGTGGTTAAGAAAGCTAGATCTATTGACCATTGCACGCTTCTTATCCTGAAGAACAGGTGAGCAAATGGTGATGTCAGAATCCCACTGAGAGGGTGAGGAGCTCTGGTCTAGCCAGACAGGGTATCTTAGAAAGGACGGAGTACCCCATCCCTGGACCTGTGCAGGAGGTGGCAGGAAAACATCTCTCCAGAAGATGAGGGGAGATTGGCTCAGGGGAGCAGGAGGAAGTGCTCCATCCCCATCCCCACCTGCAGTGAGGGTTAGTGGCTTTGATCAGATTCTCAGTGAATGTGACTCAAAGGGCTTAGAGATGCAGGCTGGACAAAGTCCTTCCAAATCTTCACCAAGATGGCCAGAGTACAAGACAGAACCAGATCAGCTCTGCTTTCTCCAATTGCTTTATTACACATGACAAAGATCACGGGCCCACCCATCACGCCCCTCCACTACTACCCCTTTCATTGGGGAGGAAAGGGCCCCGAGTTGAGATGACAGTAGTGAGCCCCTTAGTATGTGATCTGGTACACTGAGGCGTGGTCCCTGGATCCCGTGACGATCAGGCGGTTGTCAGAGGACACATCACAGCACATGACAGAGGTGGGCTCCGGTACCTGGGAGGATAGGGGAGCACAGCAAGGGGGGCTCACTCACCCTTGCCCCTATCTGTGCCTATCAATGCAAATGTGGTCCCTATGGGGGCCTTTGCATTTTGACTCCTGGGCTAAGCCCCTGAGCTCCCAGGATACCTAAGCACTGCCTATCCCACCCCAGCCCATTCTGGTACCTGGAACACCATGGCTCCTGCGGGCATGCTGTAGATGCTGACCAGGCTGTCCATCCCGACACTCACCCACCACTGGCCTGGAAGGAGGCAGAGGGACACCACGTCAAAGCTGGCAGCTGAGGGCCATACCCCTGGGGATCTGGGAAATGGAGGAAACCCCCACCTCCCACATGTCCCCAAGGAGAGAGAGCATCTGAGAGAGGTTCTTGCTGCTGAAGTATGGAGGGGAGGAAGAAGCCCAGCAAGGGAAGGAAGAAGGAATTCAGGAAGGGTCAGAGAGGGTTGGACTCAATCTGAGTGGGGTGGGGCCCTACGGGAGGCTGGGGGCCACAGGGTATTCGCCCACTTCCTCTGGGCCACTCACCAAGAGGGGAGAACTTGAGACCGAGGATGGTGCTGTCCTTACAGCCCACCATGTGTTTCTGGCCCCCGCGGGTGGGCTGCAGCCACTGCTGGCCATTGGCTGTGCCCACCAGAACCCAGTCCTCCCGGGGGCTGGGGGATAAGCTTATTATCTGGGGGTAGGTGGAAGGAAAGAATCTGGTCAGGGCCCTGCCTGGCCCAGGAGGTGAGCAGAAGAACAGAAACCTTGTCTGCACAGGGGCTGACTGCCTGCATATTTCCTGGTTGCAAGGCCCTAAAAAGAAACTTCACATCTCCAGATCTCGGTTTGCTCATCTGTAGAATGGGTTGGTTCTCTCTACTTTATGGAAATATCACAGACTATGTAAGTATCTGATGCTATTTGGGCAACAGGAAAGAACATCTCCAATGGCTCCTATTCCTCCCAGCATCACCGAGACTTGAGGTACTCTACCTCACAGCATCCACCTCCTTCTCTAGCCTGAGGCCCAGCTGCTACCTCGTCAAGCAGGTCCTATCCCAGCCTGCACACCTGAGACTCAAAGTGGTATTCCTGGGGCTCCTTACTGGTCCGTAGGTCCCAGCACCGCAGGCAGGCATCCAGACCCCCGGCCCAGATGTTCTGGTCTTTGACAACAATGCTCTTGGCTCCATTCGGGGGGCCCGGCAGGTCCCTGGACAGGAGAGGCATCAGAAGGGGTTTGGAACTGAGACTCTAAGCTTTGGGCCAAGAACACCACCCACTCAACCACCCTCAGTTGACAGATGGGGAAACTAAGGCACAAAAAAATACCAGGACTAGGCTTTGAGGAAACAGTCCAGCCAAGATTTGAACCCAGGTCTTCAACTCTCTCAAATCTGAGTTCAAGCAGGCAAGGGCTTAACCTTGAGACTGCTGAGGCCCTGCTCAGCAGATCTGTTAGAAGGGGCTCTCAGGGTGACCCCGACCACCTTAGGGCCACACCTGACCACACTCCGGTCCCGAAAGTCCCAGATCCTGATGGTCCCATCAGTGAAGCTGGCAAAGGCCTGGCTGTCCTCCAGGTTGGCAGCCAGGGCCTGGCATGTGAAACCTGCACAGGGTAGCTCATCTCTTATGTGCAGGGAGGGTGCTGTCAGGTCCCAAATGCTCACACCGGTCAAGTTGTAGCCACCAGTCAGCAGAGTAGTGCTGTTAGAGAACAGCAGGCAGGTGCGCAGGTAGGCCCCTTGGGTCTGGAATGGGCAGAGGCACCGGTGAGCTTCCTCCCCTGTAGGTAGCTCTTCCCACTCCCACAAGCCCCACCTCCTGGAGCCAGCTCCTCTCACCTGTACACGCAGGTGGCTTTCGGGGAACCTGTCCTCTATCATCTGGCCGACCAGGCTCCACACCTTGACACCACTCCTGCCGCAGGTGAACACGTGCCGCGTGAAGCTGCTGACTGCGGTGGCCAGCACGGGCTCCCCGTGTTTCAGCACCCGCTTCTTCTCCATTCTGTGTGGGATCGCCAACTTCTTGGATTGCCAGGGCAAGGCATCTGGCCTCTTCCACGTGTCTTCAAAGTCCTCAGGGTCCCAGCAGCTTAGAAGGGGAGACCTTGGGGTTACCTGTCTGCCTGTGAGCCCTTCTACCCAAAAGCAGGCACCCATTAAGCCCTCAAGGGGCTTCATTCTTTTTCGGATGTAGAGGTTTTCTCTCAGGCCTTTCCCCCCCCCCACTACACTCCACCTCCCCCACTCTCCTACCCACGTCCCTCCAAGTGTTCCCCCTGTCCCATAACCAAACACCGCTCCCTTCTGCCTGGAATGATTTGATCCCACCTGGAAAACTGCTCATCCTTCAAGGTCCTAACCATTATGCCCCTTCCTCTAGGCAAGCCGTCTCTCCCGCATCTGGGCTCCTCCAACTTCACACCACAAGGCTGGGACTCTGCCTCCAGCTGACACAGCCCCTTCTCCCTCCTCATTCCATAGGAGTTGCTTCCCCAAATCCCTGGAACCCAGGCTGCTTATGTGGGTAGGGGCAATGATGCTGGTATGAAAATAACTCGAGTTACACCTCCCTATCCAGACCCCTCTTCTCCAGTTACTGAGAACAGCATCATGGTGATGGGGAAGGGAGAGGACAGCACTGTGGTGAGGGGGAGGACATGCCTATACCTCTGGTCCCCTCTATTTCCTGGGGACTGAGGTACACATAGGTGGGGCAGTTCCAACACTTACATGGGCTTCAGAAAGGGATGGGTTCTCCCAGCAGGCTCCTGAGGATGGACCAAGATCACAGCTAAGCCATGCTGGCTCTCTGCGCCAGGCCCCAGATTTTCAGTGGGGGTGGGAGGGAGTACCAACTCAGGCCTGGGTCTCACCTGGGCCGTGTGAGGCAGCATCACCCCTGGCGCCATGCCTGGCCCTGTGCTCCCTTCTTGGGAACCTGCAAGAGAAATGTGGAAGGGCACGGGTGGGGTGAGAACGGGGCTAAGACAAGAGCAGACTAGTAGCAGCCATGGCCCCTCCCTCCCACTAGGATTACCCAAAGCATCTTCGGTACAGGGTTCTGCTCCAAAGTACTGTGGTCCCGAGTCCTGGCTTTCCTGCCAGCAAGAAACAGGGCGATCTGTTCAGACCAAAGGACCTGCCCAGGGGCAGTCTTAGAACCAGAAAACCTTAGGGAGACCCAGGCAGGGAGGACAAGACCAGGCAACTGCCTAAGTCCTCCCATCCAGGGAGAGTTGGAGACAGTCTCGGGGCAGAGTCCTGACTCCAGAGGGCATGAAAGGGCTGAGGGTGGAGGAGGTGGACCAATCCCACAGAAAATTAAATACCCCCTCCTGGGGGCCCAGCCAGGCTAACCTCCCTGCTCATTTACTTACCAAGTCTGGCATCTGTTCTGTCACTATGACGAGGGGAGGGGAGGAAAGTAATGGAGAGACAGCAGAAAGACACAGTTCAATCTGTGCTGCCCTCCACACAGTGCGAGGCCACCCACTCCCCAACCTCAGGGAGACTCACGCCTATGTCTCGCTTGGTCCACCTTATTGTAGGTCCCAGCAAAAATCTGCCAGAGTTGCTGGGTCAGAACATCCTGCCAAAACTGGGGCTCAGAGTCCCAGGACGGCCGCATGTCTAGCTGGTGAACGGGGGCGTTGTCCACTCCAGAGGGCTGCTGGAGCCAGTCAGATGACCTTGTGGCCATGACATCTTCAAAGTCTGGCCCCTGAAGACTGGAGGGCTGTGGGGGCTTGACCCCAGGAAGTTGGGAAGCAATGGGGCTGGCTGGTCCTGAGGAGTCCTGGTCAGCCTGCTCATCAGAGGAGACCTGGCTGACCTGGTCCTGCCAGCACCGGGTTGTTAGGGACAGGAGGATGTGCCCCTCACCCGGAACCTGTTCCCTTCCTCCTGGAGAAGCCAGAACCTACTTCTGCTGGCTGGAAGCCCAGGGGTTGGTTGCACGTCTCCATGATCTGTAGGAATTTTTCTGCCTAGAAGGAGGAAAATGTCCCAACTAAAGCTTTGTAATCAGACGGCTGTGGGCACGAACCCCCTCTTGCAAGCCAGTTTCCCTGTGTATGAAACAGGGAATATACCACCTACTGCGAACATTTTGGGGTGACTCCTGATAACAGAGCCCTCTGCACCACACCTAGTGTAAAGCAAGTTTGTGGTACCCAGAAGCTAGCCTCGGCAATGGGTGACAAGTCACTGTTAAAGTATGGTAGAAAGTGGAGCAGATCTGGGTTCACATCCCAGCTGTTTCCTTGGGATGTTTGAAAACAGAAACCTGAATCGTTTTGCTTAAACATGGCTTCAGGGCCCTGGCCGGTGTGGCTCAATGGTTAAAGCATCGGCCCTCACATGGAAGGGTTGCAGGTTCAATTCCCGGTCAAGGGTGCGTACCAGGGTTGCCGGTACGATCCATGGCCCTGGTTGGGGCGTGTGTGGGAAGCAACCAATCAATGTGTCTCTCTTACATAGATGTCTCTTTCTCCCTCCTCTCTCCCTTCCACTTTTTTTTTTTTTCAGGAAGCATAAAAGAATATATACCTGTGTCCCCATGTGGAGACTATTTGAATTTGCTTAAATGTTAGAAAGATACTAAGAAACTGACGGTTACCTCTTGGGGATGAGCCACCTGGTAGGAGGGTCACCTACATTATTTTATATGTAAAATCAATGCCCAGCCCTGGCCGGTTTGGCTCAGCAGTTAGAGTGTCAGCCTGAATACCAAAGAGTCACGGGTTCAATTCTGGTTGAGGGCACATGCCTCAATTGTGGTTTGGGCCCTGGTCAGGGTCGTATGGGAGGCAATCAATTGTGTTTCTCTCACATCGATGTTTGTCTCTCTCCTCCCCTCCTAGTCTCCCTCCCTATCTAAAAAAACAAAACAAAACAAAAAACAATGGAAAAAAATATCCTTGGGTGAGGACTATAAATAAATAAATAAATAAACAAATAAATAAATAAAATAGAATATGCTCCCTCCTATCAAATAGCCTACTCCCTTTTCTCCACGGCACTGATATGACAGATACTGGGTCTGTTTTTAACTCTTTCCATAGGACTGTACAGCCCAGCACAGTAGCTACCAGCCATGATGGCTATTTAAAAAGTTAAGTACAATTAAAAAGGACATTTCTATAGTTCCAGCAGGCACATTTCAAGTGTTAACAGCTATGTGGGACCAGCGGCTGCTGAACCAGATGGCACGGGCACCTAGTAGAACCAAGGGCAGTGGTTCCTAGGTGGTGCCCCGCATCCACCCGAGGACAAGAACAAACAAGGTTGGACCCTCCAGGCCAGTATTCTCAAGAACCTGCAGTGTGGAAATGTGTGTATGTGCAGCTATATTTAGTCCAGTACCAGACTAAACATAGTGACAGTGAATTGTTCTAGAGCTGCCTATTTAACGGGGTAGCTGCAAGCTATATGTGGCTATTGAGCAACTGAAATGTGACTGCTGCCACTTGCTTAAGTCAACTTAAATAGCCACATGTGTCCCATGGCTACCATGTAGGCTAGCACAGACTGCTGTCTTGGCTGGCTTATGGCTCTGGAGGTAGATGCCCACTCCCCTCTAGAAGCTCCTAAAGTTGTCTGGCCCAGGGCAAACTCCAAAATAAAATGTTCTGATTCACAAAGGAAGATAATTAATAAAGAAATGCAGCATAAGCATAAACGGCAATCAGTTGTTTCACAGGCACTGCTGCCCTTCCCATTTTGCAGATGGGAAAACTAAGGCCCAGAAAAGCAAAGCCAATTTCTCAAAGTCAGAGGAGAGGGGTGGGTGGGTGGGTGGAGGTGATAGGAGTGGGTGGAGAGTGGGGGCAGGCAGTGTTTACCTGCCTCCTCCAACAGCCTGGCATCTCTCCTGCCGGTTAGGCAACAAGATAGTGGTAGGAGGGTCTGGGATATGGGAGCTGCTCTCTGGCTCAGGGTTGCTGCCTCCTGGGGCCATCAGTGATGGATTCCCCAGCTGGGCCTCCCAGCCGCATGAGGCCCAGGGGAGCCTTCCCCAATTCGCCCTGGCTCGTTAATGTGCAATTTACTGGCACTTTAATGCACTCAGCATGAAAAGTGCTGCTCCCTCCTGCCTGCTAGCTGGCCTTCCCTGGGGAAAGCTGTGTGCAGGCAGGCAGTGGGGAGCAGTGGGGCTGCTGCTGCTTGGGATTTTAAATGCACAGCAAGGAGGCTGGAAAAACAAGGAGGGGGAGAGGAGAGGTGGATGTGGTCTGTTTGGGACTACAAAGCCAGCAAGGCAGCTAGGGATGATCACCTGGGGGTAAGGGGAAAACCTCCTGGGTTGAGCAGCAACAGAAGTAGCCAATTTTGGGCCCTTGCCACCCCCCACATTTTGATATTCAACAAGTGCTGTTTGGTTCTTACCCTAAAAGGGCCCACAATCTGCTTACTTCTCACCACATAACTGGTCTAAGTGACAAGCATCCTACATCTGGATGGTCCTTACTGGTGCCCCAGTTCCTACAGTACAACCACCCTTAGCAGCCAGAGGGCACCTGTGAGCACCTGAGTCATGTCCTGTCCCTCTGCCCACAGCCCTCCAGGGTTCCCACCTCCCTGGGGTAAAAGCCCAAGTCCTCAAGGTGGCCCACACATCCCTGCACAACCTGCCCTCACCTCCTCCCTCTCTCATTTTGCTCTGGACACAAGAGCCTCCCTGCTGTTTCTCCAACATGCTAGGCATGGCACTACCCCAGGTCCTTTGCATGTGCCGTTTTTCAGATACCTTCATGGTTCCCTCCCCTCTCCTTTAGTTCTCTGTTCAAATGTCACCTTCTCAGTGAGCCTTTCCTGACCACCCTGAATTGCAACCCACTCCCATTCTGATCCCCCTTGGGGCTGCTCATTTCCATGCCCACTTTTGCCCAGCCCTCACCATCTGACACTTCTGTTTACCAAGCTCCTCTCACCCAAGGGCAGGGTTTGGCCTGTGTTCTTCACTATTTCCCTGGCGCCTACAACAGCACTTGGCAAGATGGATAAATATCTGTTGAATGAATAACTGTTCTGGTTGCTTCCTGCCCCCCCACCCCCATCTGTCTCTCCCAGTTCTCTGAGCTGCTCACCCCAGCCCCTGCTAAATTGCAGACATGGCCCTGGCCCTCTGCCAGTCACATCTGGCATAGGCAGAAAGTCCTGCCAGCACCCAGGGGAAAAGGGCCAGGTGGCAGGAGGACAGGCAGGGGTGGAAGTCATGCTTCAGCCTGGGCAAGGCGCCCTGTGAAAGGAGCCAGGGCCTCCGGTGCAGACCTGCCCCTGGCTCGCATGTGAGCCAGGCCCTTGAGAACTCTCAGACATAAGGAAGATGGTAATCCGGGTATGTCTGGCATACATAACAGGCCCTTCAGAGCTGAAGCAACTGACCTGCAAAGTGCTGAAAACACCCCTGGCCTCATCTGAGCCACACAGGGACCCAGGGAGCAGGCCAGAAAGAGGCTCAGCAAGAGCATGGGAGATACACTCCCAAAATGTGGGGATCCACTGATATCTTGGGGGGGTTCCAGGTCCCACCCCATCTCTGTTCACAGCCCTCCAGGGCTCCCACCTCCCTGGGGTAAAAGCACAAGTCCCCCCAAGGCCCAGACGGCCCTGCCCCCATCCCCACCCTGCCTTCACCTACTCCCCTGCCTTTCAACGAGGGGCAGCTGTACCCTGAGCTCCCTGTGACTCACCTGCCTGTGATGTTCCTGTAGACCCTGTCGAATCTTCTGAAGCTACAAAGGAACAACAGGGATCAATCACACTGGGTGGTGGTCAATAGAAGTGGGCAAGGGTCTGAAATTTGAACACTGTGTGGCCCAGTTGTGTGACCCTGGGCAAGTCACTTTACCTTTCTGGTCCCTACTCTCATCAAATAGTATACCACAGTACACACTCAGAATGAGAGCTAATTAGGGAAACCTCTGGATTTCATTCTAGATGTGAAAGTCAAACACAGGCCTTCCCAGAGACCTCTTGCCCACCCCTTCCCCGTCCCATCCACATCCCCTTGCTCACTGTGCTCCAAGCATACTAGCCTCCTTACTGTTCCTCCAACATATCATATCTAATTCTGCCCCAGGACCTTTACATATACTGTGCCCTCTGCCTGAACTCCTTTCCCAGTTCTCTCTAGGGGTGGCAGGAGCCCCTTATCCTCTATGAACATCAATTCCTCTAAGAAGCCCTTCTAGACCCTCTGAGCTCAAAAATCTTTACTCATTTTCTATTTTCCTTTTAATTCTTGCATGTTTTTGAATCTTGTTTCTGTTTACTTATTTGTCCCTCTCCTCCCCTTAGAGCTGCCCTGTCCAATGTGGTAGCCACTAGTCAAGTGTGGCTATTTAAATTTAAACCAGTTAAAAATGCAGGTCCTTAGCCCTGGCTGGTTTGGCTCAGCGGTTGGAGCGTTGACCTGTGGATCAGGTCCCGGGTTCGGTTCCCGCTAGCGGCACGTACCCCGCCCCCCCCCCCAAAAGAGTGTCTGACTGTGGACTGAAGGGTCATGGGTTCGATTCCCAGTCAAGGGTCCGACCTGTGTTGCAGGTTAATGTCCCTGGCATGGGTCAGGGTCATGTGGGAGGCAACCAATTGATGTTTCTCTCATTCTCTCCTTCCCTCCCTTCCCTCTATCTAAAAAAAAAAAAAAAAAAATCAATGGAAAAACATCCTCTGGTGAGGATTAACAAACAAAAAAGCGCAGGTCCGTACAAGTCCTCAATTGCCACATGTGGCTAGCAGGTATCATATTGGACATTGTTGATATAGATCATGGGCACTGTTGATATAGATCATGGAAAGTTCTAGAAAACAGCACACTAGCACATACACACCTCAAGAGCAGAAACTCCAGTCATGTGCTATGAGTTAAAGCGGCACTTCCTTTAAATATGGAATTTCTAGTTTTCACAGCAAGATTATTAAGAAAAACTCACATGAAGCTGGGGCTCAATGGGTTAACTGACTAGCCCAAAGTCAGCAAAATAGAGAAGAGGGTATCTCAAAACCCTGTTCCTGACGCCAAACAGAACAGCCTTTCCAGGGGCTGCCCAGAGGCACTGCCTGGTCTGTGGCTCACCAAATAGTAAATGCTGTCCACCTGTGCCGGCAAGTGAGGCGGGAACCTGCGGGGAAGAAAGACCAGCTGGAAGATGTTGGCGGACAGGACCTTCCTCAGAATGAGCACAGCACTCTGCCAGCCCCCTGGCTGGGAGGGAATGAGGGTCCCCTTCAAGGGGTCACATTTAAGGCAGTGTAAATATTAATACGATTTTAAGGCAGCATTTAAAATTATATGTATAAATGGCCCAGCCTGTGTGGCTCAGTGGATTGGTGTTGTCCCATGGACCGAGAAGTCGGAGTTCAATGGCCGGTCAGGGAATATGCCCGGGTTGTGGGTTTGATCTCTGGTGGCAGGTATGCAGGAGGCAGCTGATTGATGTTTCTCTCTCACATCAATGTTTCTATCTCTCTTTCCTTTCATCTCTCTCTTAAAAAAAAAAACCAAAAATCAATAAAAACATATTTTAAAACAATAAAGTTAACTAACCTAAAAGTCATTAAATATATATATAAATATAACTGAATGTAAGTAAATTCACACTGTATAACAGAAATCAAACACTTAAAATTGTCCTCACCTAGGGAACTGCTTCTTGAGCTGATCCAGGAAGCCCTGATAGTTCGGGTCTTGAAGGCTGGCCCCACGATGAGCCTGGAAAGGTTGATGGAAGGTGAGATGGGAATCTCCTAAAACCTGACGGCAATTCGCCTTCTCTCTTGCTACTAAGTACCCATAGAGTATCTTCCATCTAAAATCTGAAGTATTCCCTCTTTGGCCCCTTTTGGAAGAAATTTGCCTACCCCTGGCCAAAACTGTTAGCAATGGTCATTTCTAGGAAATAACATCTGGAGGAAGGGAGATTTTGTTTGTAAATTATTAACAGAACAGACGATATAGTTGGGTGTTTTATACCTGGGTCATAAGAAGTAAGTTTAATTTCTAAAAAAAGCAAGTCCCGCCTGACTGGTGTGGCTCAGTGGTTGAGCATCGACCTATGCACCAAGAGGTCACTGGTTGATTCCCCGTTGGGGCTGTGCCCAGGTTGTGGGCCCAATCCCCAGTGGAGGGCATGCGAGAGGGAGCCAACTGATGTTCTCTCTCATTGATGTTTCTATCTCTCTCTTCCCCTCCCTTCCTCTCTCTCTAATCAATAAAGAAAAAAAGATTTTTTTATCCTCTCCTGAGGACATTTTTGCATCTATCCTCAGATAAAGAGGGAGGTCTAGAGGGAGGAAGAGAGAGAAACATCGATGTGAGAGAGACACATCGACTGGTTGCCACACACATGACCTTAACCAGGGCTGGGGACAAACTGCAACCGAGGTATGTGCCCTTAGCGGGAAACAAACCCAATCTCACTGGTCCGCGGACCGATGCTCTAACCACTGAGCAACCGGCCAGGGCATAAAGAAAAAAAAATTTGCCCTGACCAGCGGTTAGAGTGTTGGCCTGCGGTCTGGAGAGACCCGGGTTCGGTTCCCGCTAAGGGCACGTACCTCGGTTGCAGTTTGTCTCCGGCCCCGGTTGGGTCGTGTGGGTGGCAACCACTCGATGTGTCCCTTTCACATCGATGTTTCTCTCTCTCTCTCTCTCTCCCTCCTACTATCTGAACAAAATATCAACAAAATGTCCTCGGATGAGGATAAAAAAAAAAATTAAATAAAAATGCAACTGCCACCCTGGCCAGTGTTGTTCAGTGGTTAGAGCCAGCTTGCACACCAAAGGATCTAGAGTTCAATTCCTGGTCAAGGGCATGGACCTGGGTTGTAGGTTCGATTCCTGGTCCTGGTGGGGGCCTTTGTGGGAGGTAACCAATCGATGTGTCTGTCTCTCTCTCTACCCCTCCCTTCCACTCTCTCTCTAAAAAAATTAATAAATGTGTGGGGGGGAGCAAGTGCCACCCTGGCCAGTGTGGCTCAGTTTGTTGGGCACGATCATTCAGTGCATGAAAAGGCTGCCCTTTGGATTGCAGATCAGGGCACATGCCAGAATTACAGCTCAGTCCCCAGTAGGGGGCATGCAGGAGGCAGCCCACTCTCACATGGAAGTTTCTCTCTCCTTCTCTAAGTATCAATTAAAAATCCTTTTTTTTTTTAAACTTTTTTTTCCTTTATTGATTTTAGAGAGAAAGGGAGAGGGAGAGAGACATAGAAATATCGATATGAGAAAACATAGACTGGCCACCTCCTGCATGCCCCCCACTGGGGATTGGGCCCACAACCTGGGCATATGCCCTGACTAGAAATGGAACCAGTGATCTCTTGGTGCATGGGTCGATGCTCAACCACTGAGCCACACCAGCCAGGCAAAAAAAGTTGTTTGTGCTGCCCTGGCCAGTTTGGCTCAGCGGTTAGAGTGTTGGCCCGGGGACCAGAAGTCCCAGGTTTGGTTCCTGCTAAGGGTATGTACTTTGGTTGCAGTTTGTCCCTGGTCCCAGTTGGGGTTGTGTGGACGGCAACCAGTAGATTGTGTCCTTCTCACATCGATATTCCTCTTTCTCTCTTCCTCCCTCTTTCCCTCCTGCTCTATCCGAATTAAAAAAATTAAAACACACACACAAAATAAAAAGCCAAGTGCCACCTGTGAAATATGATGAGCTAGTGACCCCAGCTTAAAGGCCTGGCCAGCCACCCCATGTCCCTCCATCAGAGACAGGAGAATTAGATATGAGCCCAGCTCCCAGGCTCTTCCCCTCCCCCCAGGGGATAATGCCATACCACACTCTCCTCACCAAAGTTCCTGGGGGCCTCACCATCCTTGGAGGGTGCCCCTGGGGGCTGAGATGGCCACAAGAGGTCATCTTCAGGCAGTACTCACAAGGACTCTAAAAGTAACAAGGAGATGGCAGGTCCTGAGGGCAGAAAGCTGGGCAACGACAAACCAGCCCCACCCCATGCCTGGGCCTCCTGCACCACTCACCATGGTCTTCCCTCCAGGACCCAGTCCCAGCCCCCAACCCTATGACTGACTTCCAGCACTCCACTGCATTCCCTACATGCTATGTTCATTCATCAAACACTCTGGTGCCTACAGCTGTGCTGATTAGTAGTGGGGACCCCTGAGGTCTCACTCTATGAGGTGTGGAGGGAGAGCATTCAGGGCTTGGGGAACCCAGAGAAGGACATCAAAGCTCAACCTCAGTTTTGAGACAATTTCCTAAAGCCCAGGAGAACACCATTGGAAAGGGGTTTTGGAGGATGAGTAAGAGTTGGCCAGGTGAATTAGGAGAACTTTCTCAGGTAGGAGGAAAGAAACCACTCTAACCTAATCACTCTTGCTGTACCCAAGTCCCTTCTTTACTTTGCGTCTGCCCCTCTACCCCTCCTCCCCAGCCGGGTGACCTTGGAGGGCCTACTCACCTCCCTTAGGGTGCAGGATCAGAGGAGCAAAGAAGGAAGCTGTGAGGGTCAGCCAAGTTCAAACCAAGAGGAAGCGCCTTCCCCCTACCCTCACCCGGGGGCCTTTTGACCCATCGGACCCCGCCCCGGCCCGCCCTGGTCCCGCCTCGCCCCGCCCCAGCCCCGCCCCGCCGCCACCTGCACAGCGAAGCGGATCAATGAACGACCAGCAGCTGCACGTGGGCTCGGGCTCCGGGGGTGGTGGCCGGCAGCTCTGACCAATCTTGAGGCTGCTTGCCCACGTGGGCCACGGCCACCGTTGTTTATTGGCCAGATCGCCCTGGCCGCCGGTCGTGCTGTCAATCAGCACACTCGGGGCCGCGTTTTAACCCTTGCCGTTCCAATGCGGGGAGGGGCAGCGTGCAGAGCCGCAAGCAGTTTGGGGTGCAGACGAGGGCGAGGATTTTTAGAAGGGCTTGGGGCTTGGAAGCAGAATGTACAAGTTGGGGCGGGGCTGGGCGGCATGTAGTTGCATTGTTTGGTGAGAAACCTAATAATTTTCTGTGATGCCCAGCAGTGGCTTAGGGCAGGAAATAGGGAGTGGGGGCTGGCACTTGGAATGGGGGGAATCTTTAACACTCTCACTCTAATCCTTAGATATGGGCTAATAACGTTTTCCTGATATTAAATAACGTGCAATGCAAACGAAGCTTCAAGCCCCTCTCTGAGGAAATCTTAACAGCTCCCTTTTATCCAGTGCTTCCCATGAGCCAAGCCCCAGGCTACGCATTTTATCAGGAATTTTCCCAACTGCCCTCCAAGCCCAGGGACTGCAGATCTGAGAACTGAAAGCAGTTACTGCAAAGGCCTTGAGGCCGGTACATTTTTTTCTAGGTTCAAGGGCTAGGCGGGAAGGAGTAGTGGGTATTCTAGGCCTAGGGCAATGTCAGAGAAAAGTGGGTGGGGGATTGTATGAGGCTGTTGAGGGATTCAAGAGTTCTGTTTCAGCCTGGTTTGAAATGCCTACTCAATATATGAAGTGGTCAGTCTGGAGTTTTGGAGTGAGAGGCCAAGTTTCTGCCTACCCCAGGATCTTTGCGCTAGCTATTCCCTCTGCCAGGGATAGTCTTCTACCTGACTCACTCCCTCACCTTCAGCTCTGGCCCAGAGGTCACCACCTCAGCAAGACCTCCATTCTTCCTTTCTTATTTTATTTACTCCAAATATGGTTTGAATTGAAGTTAATCTTATTTTAATCTAAGTGGCTGTAAGCCTTGTGTTCAAAATTCATATTGTTACCGGAAAGAGGACCTGGCCTTGAGCAGGTCTGCCTAGGGCCGAGCCAGTAGTGTGTGGGTTCCGGACTTCATGCAGGAAAAGTGTCACAACACGAGTCCAGGTAAATTTTAGAGGATGCTTATTAAAGCTGGGGACAGTGACACAAGGGCTGGGACAATGAGCCTAGGCTGGGCTGCTTTGGCTCACTAAGAAGTCAGAGAAAAGGAGGCATTGGTGACAGGTTCAGGGGGTTTGCCTGGGATGACCTGCCACTGCCCATTGCTACCTTAGTTGTAAGCCTCATGGGGTCCCTTACAGTTTAGGAGATTGCATGGCTGTGAGGAAAGGGGTTGGAGGGAGGAGCGGAAAATGCTCCTGGGAGGGAGAACACAAGCTGGGCCCTTTGTTTTGAGGGGTTTTAAAGGCTGGGTATTTACGGGAGGATTTCAATAGAATATTTATCAATTTTATGCTAATATACAAAAATGAGATTTGTTCTCTTAACTTCATCTGTCCTTGGGTGTGGTTAGCAAATAGCACTAATTGGATTTCTGCTATCTGTCTCCTTGAGTAGGGTGATTTAAGCTATTTACCTTCTGATTGGGAAGAAGTGCAAACCATTTACTCTTATTAAGTGTCCCTGGTTTAGGGAAGATAGGATTTACTCTATGGCTGCAAACTGCAGTTTAACTATATGTCTCAGTTTCTCTATTCACCTAGCCCTGGCTTACTGACCTGTCTCAATATAATGCTGACAGGACGCTAATACATTCTCACAACTGGCCACAGGCTCCTGCGCAGGTGTGCTGGCCTGGGATCCACATGAACCAGAGATCTACCATTTCCCCTGATTCGTGCTAGTAGGGGAAAACTGAGGGTTCAGATCTTGGGATGTGTAGCCCCACGAGATTCTGATGTAAACACATAACTTGGGTTTTGTGGCTGGTCTATGGAGGAGAAAGTGAGGGCTGCCATATATGAACCGCAAAATAGGTTTTCACCCATGATCCCTCAACTGGCCCTTAATTGAAGTGTATTTTATTTATGGTCCAGCCTGCTAATTGCCTCCCTCTGTGCGCCTGGCTCTCCTCTCTGTGGTTTGCAGACTTTCAGCTGCGCACATCAGTTCATCCAAAGCTGGCTTGTCTCATCTGGTTTCTGCTGAGTACCTGTTGCTGCTTAAAACAAATTAAAATGAAATAAAATTTAAAACTCAATTCCTCAGAAGCACTGGCCGCATGTCAATTGCTTAGTAGTCACATGTGGCTGGGACTGTCACATTGGACAGCACAGATCTAGACAATTCTCATCGTTGTAGAAAGTTCCACTGGATGGCATAGATCTGAGGTTCTTTAAAAAGAAAAATTCTAGGTCCATGTAGAAGTAGGAAGTGTTTTATGGCAGCCATTCCATTCTCACTTGTTGAAAGTCCTGTGTGGGTCCTGGCCGGTTTGGCTCAGCGGTTAGAGCATCGGCCTGTGGTCCAGAGAGACCTGGGTTCAGTTCCCGCTTAGGGCACGTACCTCAGTTGCAGTTTGTCCCTGGCCCTGGTTGGGTCGTGTGGGAGGCAACCACTCGATGTGTTCCTTTCATGTCGGTGTTTCTCTCTCTCTCTCCTTCCCACTCTATCTGAACAAAAAATGGAAAAATGTCCTCGGTTGAGGATAAAAAAAAAGGAAAGCCCTGTGTGGATGGTTGGAACTTTTGCTGGTGTGTACTCCCCAATGGTTCTTTTTTTTACTGTCCCCTGCATGCCCCAGCCTGTCCATCAGGGATCAGCCTCCTTGAGCCCTGGGGAAGGGGATGGATGACACGACAGAGAGGAAAGGAGGAAGCACAGACTTCCTTCTTGGCGTCTGAGCTGTGCTTTACTTGGTGGAAATCCAAAGTCTAGATGAAAGTTTGAAAGGAAAGAGGTTTGCATTTCCAAAGCTTTGGATTTCCCTGGGCCTATCTAGGAGACCTCAGAACTGGTACCTCGGGGGCCCCAGAGTCACCTGGGTTAGGTGTGTACCAGACAGAAGGGTCAAGAGAAAGCCCAGGGTGGAGAGGAGGCTGTGGAGTGACCACAGGGAGGCAATAGCAGGGAGGTTGTAACAGGCTTCAACTTCCCCATTCTTTTCTAAAAAATATTTTTTCTTTATTGATTTTAGAGAGAGAGGAAGGGAAAGGGAGATATAGAAACATCGATGAGAGAGAACATCAATTAGCTGCCTCCTACATGCTCCCCACTGGGGGTCAGGCCCACAACCTAGGCATGTGCCCTGACCGGGAATGGAACCGGTGATGCTCAACCACTGAACCACACCAGCCGGGCTCCCATTCTTTCCTTCATCCCCAGAACTTCTCAGTGACCCTTGTGAGCAAGAGAAAATAGCCAAATGTCAGAAGTGAGGGAGTAGCTGCAGAAAGCCTGTAGTTAGAAAGACTCTAGTGTCCTGCCAGCTAATGAATGACCAAGAGCAGTGCAGTGGGACAAGGACTCACTAGCCTGAAGACGCTGGCCAGGCTGGGGAACGCTCAAGGGCAGGATGACTCCCAGCTTGTCCCCACTCTCAGACACCATATGACCACCCTTGAACTTAGATCTGGCCCCCGGAAAAGTGAATTTATTGAAGTACCTGGCATTGATTAAGATTTGCTTTCTGCCACCTGGTGGAAAGAAACTTGTAATCCTTTCCCCAGAGCTGCTGTAACAAATGACCACAAAATGGTTGGCTCAAAACAACAGAAATCTATTCTCTCACATGCTAGAGGCCCAAAGTCCAAAATCAGGGTGTTGGCAGGGTCAAGCTCCCTCTGAAGGCTGCAGGGAGGGGGTCTTTCTGCCTCTTCCAGCTTGTGGGGGTGACCGGTAGTCCTTGGCCTTTTTTGGCTTGTAGACACATTGTTTTATTTTTATTATTTTATATATACATATTTATTTTACTTAATCCTCACCCAAGGATATTTGTTTATTGATTCTTTATTTATTTTTTTTAGAGTGGAAGGTGTGTGGCGGGGAGAGATGTGAGAGACACATTGATTGATTGGTCACCTCCCGCACGTGCCCCAACAGGAGCCAGGGAATCAAACCTGCAACCCAGGTGCGTGCCCTTGACCAGGAATGGAACCCAAGACTCTGGTACGTGGGCCGACACTCTAACGACTGAGCCACACCAGCCAGGGCTAGATACATCATTTTAATTGCTGTGTCTGTCTTCATGTGGCCTTCTCCCCTGTGTATCTCTGTGTCCAAATTTCCCTCTTCTTTTTTTTTAAAATCCTCACCGGAGGACATTTTTGCATTTATCTTCAGATAGAGTGGGAGGGAAAGGGGAGGGGGGGGAACATCCATGTGATAGAAACACACTGACTGGTTGCCACCCACATGACCCCAACTGGGGCCGGGGACAAATGGCAACCAAGGTACATGCCCTTAGTGGGAACCAAACCCCATCCGAGGGCCGATGCTCTAACCGCTGAGCCAAACTGGCCAGCACTAAATTTCCCTCTTCTTTTTTTTTTTTTTTTTTTTATCCTCACCCGAGGATATTTTTCCATTTTTTGTACAGATAGAGTAGGAGGGAGAGAGAGGAAGGGAGAGAGAGAGAGAAACATCGATGTGAAAGGGACACATCGAGTGGCTGCCACCTGCACGACCAACCAGGGCCGGGGACAAACTGCAACCGAAGTATGTGCCCTTAGAGGGAACCGAACCCGGGTCTCTCCGGACTGCAGGCCGACGCTCTAACCGCTGAGCCAAACTGGCCAGGGCTAAATTTCCCTCTTCTTATAAGGACACCAGTCATTGGATTAGG